ATCATCTCCTGTAGCCTTTCCCTTCCTCATTTCCTTGATAGCTTTTTCCACCTCACTTTGTAAAATATATGGTCCTTTCTCGTCTGTATCTACTTCTTCTTCCGGTTCAACTTCTAAGGTTTCTGGCCGATTAGGTCGATCATATAGTTCTGTAATATACTTTTCCCAAATTTTCAGCGCTTGCCTCTGATCTACTATTCTATTCCCCTGGGAGTCTTCGATGCCAACATTTTGAATCCCATGATTCTCTTTCCATCCTAGTTCTTTTGTCTTCATGTACATCAAATCATAACGTCCTGTTCTTTGAAATTCTATAATCTCATTACATATCTTCTCAAGATATTCCTTTTTGGCCCTGTCCGTGGCTCTTTTCAATTCATTCCTCAGTCTCCTGTATTTCCTCCTGCCTTCTTTATTGTTGACATTGTACCAGATACATTGTCGTTAAAATACGAGGCACCTAATTTTGCTGGGGTAGGCGTCCACTGCCCCCCCCGTGCCACAAGCCCGACTGAGAGCAGCGTGTACCCCGAAACTCATCCAAGTGACGGCTGCTGACTACATTCAAGCATAAAACTGATGAAATAACAAGGGAACGGAAGAAATGAGGCGAATAGGTCGCAATTAAGAAGCAAAAAACAAGGTAGGAGGTGTAAGATTTGAGGTTTTCACGGCGGTGACTATGAAGAAAGCAGTCTTCTGGGATTTGGCAGCGTGTATATGTGGTGTTAACCGACGTTTCGGAGGAACGTATCGCCTAAAGCTTACGGGGGAAGAAAGTGTACTGGACATAAAGCGCGTGTTTCGTTTCTCTCCGCAACGTCTGATCGAGATGGGCGCAGAAACGCACGTGGGTCTGTCTGCATGTGAAACGTCCGTTGCTGCTCGAACATAGCTCAAATCGAGAGGTAAAAGGTAAGGTAAAGCTGTTCCCGTGCTTAACTAGCTAAGCACTACGCGGCAGACCTTCCCAAAGCCAAATGCAATGCAGATTCTTACACGCACATTTCTTGTAAGTGTTCTCCATGAAGACACCAGAAAGCACAGGGAAGGAGCGCTGTGCTTTGCACAGGACGTGCCAAACGCCTGACACGAGACAATACTATCCGGAAAACATGACAAGTACAATCCAGATGCAGGGAGCTGTGAGTTCCGTACGCACAAACTGAGTGAATCCGTTGCAGTCAAATTACCAAGAAAGACCCTCCCCCGCCATCTGTTGAGAGACCAGCGATTTATGCAATGTAACAATATCCTGCCTCAAGTCGCTCTCTAGTGTGCATTCCTGGAACTCTGTAAGAGACGTGTGAGCAGTGGCGGCTGGCGAAGTCAACACACGTGAAAGCCGTGCGCCTGTGTCGACACTCGGACCTCAGAGTGAGACATTGCTTTATTATGGATAGGGGAGTGAAGCTGACCACTCACCTCCGGCTAATGCCGAGGTCAAGAAACTGTGGATACATACATCCACTCCCTCATACGCCTTCATGGCGTAGTGCTTGATTTCGTTGAGCGCAGGGACAGGAAGCAACGGTGTTTCGGAGACAGCTGCATCTGGAGGCCTCGCTGGGGACTAACCGAGAATTTTATTTGGATGTTCCCTTAAGAGCAGTTCACACAGTCAGGGAATCGTTGTGATACAGTGTACGTGTTCAAATGTTGTTAGGATGATACTAACTGGAGGTCAGATTTCGTCAGCTCGATGTGAACTGAGCCTTCGACCAGTCTGTGAAACAACACGACCACCAGATACCAGCCTAGTCCGCAGGTACGCAAGTGGGACCGTGTCTCCTTCCAGATCCCTCCCAATGTCACCAAGTAGGCCAAGAAGTGAACTTGCCCCTGCGCGGTACCGCTCCACGTCTTGGAAACCTCGACACTAAGTCCGGCTGCTTTGGTCCGTACACCCCATGCAGTTTCCGCTGGCGCGTCCGGGGGTGCGCTGTGCAAAGGGAAGGGATCCACTTGAACCCTTCGGCGCGCCGGATACCGCCTGTTTGCACACTACCACAACTTGTATTGGTGTTCTTTACACCGTGAGGACGTGGACGTTTCCGAGTCCAAGTTATCTCCATCTAGAAGGTTAGATTGACCCCGAAGACGGAGGCAGCATGTACCTTCGAAATGTCGGCAACACTGCACATGTACACACGGTGCAAAGACCCAAGGACAGACCCGACACCAACCACGAACCAGCGCGAGAATATAAAATCCATAAGAATGATATAATTTCCCCAAGCAGCGCTAGGCGGCTGGTCTCTGTAACGGAGATGCGGTGCGTATGCATCGAGACGCGCCTTGGGCTCGTGCCCAGTGAAAATCCCGTAACTCAACTAGGAGGCAAGCACGTCACATTACAGTGACTGACATCGATTCGTGGACCCGTGAAAGCGAGGCTCGGAATGTGGGAGTGCCTCCCTGGGGTCACGGTCCAGCGGTCCCAGCACATAGCCGACAGCTCACATCTGTTTCCCAGTATGCACCAGAAGTTGAAGAGCTGCGACTTGGTTTTCGGGGCACTCTGTAGCAGGGCGTCACCCTGCTGTGGGCGTCTCTCTCAAGGAGGACGGGCGCCAGCCACTGTTGGACGCGGAAGTAGGGCCAGCGCGGCAACTGCGTACTGGCCAGATTAACATAGGCCGTGAGAAGTCCCTTGAAATGGGCCACGACAGACTCCTTCACCGTCTTCAGCCTCTGTCACTTTTCATTCGTGGCCATTTTCTCATCTCGTCCAGTTGGAGGTCATCGATTTACCAAACTACACAGTGTCACATCCCAGAATACCGTACCTTGATACTCATCGCCAAGAGCACTTCGAATTTCAGAAGTTAGAAAACCGAACCTATCCATGACCAGAGAGTTCTGGTGCGCACGCTCGCTCCTGCTTGATACCCTCTAGAGGCCAACCTTGGAACAAGTTCGTCCGTCCGTCCGGCGGTTCTCACAACGCTGCACGCGGACGGACACTTGGCAGCGCACCGAGAGACACCAAGTGTTGGAACGTCCTGTCTCCAACACGGTAGGAATCCTTCAGGTGTAACTTAACTTCATGACGTCATCAGATCACAGCTGTGTGTTCACAACTCTGCTTATCTGCAACCCAACAAACCACATGGACCAGTGCCTTTCACAATAAGCTATCAGTTGCTCATCCAGTTAAAAACAAATCCACCGCTCATCGCCGTGTTCACAAGAGCCCGACACTAGTCCCTCTTCTAAGCCAGATGAATCCCAGTTCACACCCTCAAAGTCTCTTCCTTTAAGATCCATTTTAATATTATCCTCCCATCTAAGCCTATGTCTTCCAAGAGTTATCTTCGCTCCTGGTTTTCCCACTCAAATTTTCTAGGCATTTCCGATCTCTTTGTGACGAACTTAGGTGGGCAGTGCAAGTCACGGCGCACTTTCAGCTGCCAAAGTTGAATTTACATGAGAAGGGAACATTCCAGAATTCGTCTGGAGGGACTGAGAGTAACCGCGAGAAACCTCTAGCAAGGGTGACCCATCTTGCCGCCCATGTTGCACAGGCAGAACTGTCCCTTGTGCCACTCTCGCGCTGCGGTCCCTCTTCTGGAGCGGGAGGAGACAGAAGAGCAGAGCAATGGCCACCTCGCGTTGCCCAACCCGTGACTCGCGACCGATATTCAGACAGGGAGACACCAACCGGAACCCGGGACCCTGTGAATACATGGATTCTTCATGGCACGGCCCCTCAGCACACGGTCACCTTCCTTTCTCTTGTCGCAGGGCCCTTCTTGAGAAGCTTGTAGTTGTACAGCTCACTGATAAATTCGCTGTCTTTTACAGAATCCGAAGGTTCACTACCGCGAAAAGACCCTACCCTTAGTCCACGCCCTCTGACACTATTATATTTAAATCCATTTTAATATTATTCTCCCCTCCGCGCCCAGATCTGCAAAGCGGTGTCTCCCCTTCAGGTTTTAGAATAGCTAAGGCATAACAAAACTGCGTAACAGTTCGCAGAATACAAGGCTACACGGTGTCACTATTCACAACATCCTCACCAGTAACGTTGCCACGGCTCTGCTGAGGCAGTCCGCCACGAAGCCAGTCTGCACGAGCGAACAAGACGGGCACAAGGGACACCTGCTCTGTTGCGTCCACGAGCCGATCAGCGCGCACTCGCCACAGAAAACACACTGCGTCTCCATTACAAAGACCAGCCGGTTAATGCCGTTTAGGGAAGCAAGAACCACACGATTCATATAAACACGCTGTGTGGACAAAACGCAGACTTCTCTGCGTATTAAAGAAGGTGGTACATATGGTTACCAGCATGTTTTAAAGCGATAATGTGGGTTTGTGCTAGTTGAATACTGAACACAGAAGCCGCGCAGTCTACGGTATGTACAACGGGTTCGAATCCCCTTCTGGGCACGAATGTATGTCTGCTTTTCTGTGTTTTGTCCTGTGTAGGTGAATGCCTGGCTCAAGTGGGCGGCTCGACTGTCACTTGGAACACTGTTTCACGGAGCGTTCAGGCCAGTCCAGGTAAGTTATGTGACGCAATGGCTTCAGAGGGCGACACCTCCTGAACATACAAGGATATGCTCGTTGCTTCAGCACGCCAAACGGGAATTCGCTGAATTACGCAACGGTTCGAGCCAATGCGTTCCTCCACCCTCATTCGCTCTACTCTGCGTGCACGCCACACGGCATTCTTTACAGACGCACACCCATGCTCCGCTCCCAGCTAAACGCTCTGCGTGTTATGCTGCTTTCTGAGTTATAGAGCCACTGACGTGTCGGAAGTAAACGTGGGGGGGGGG